TGAGAGTACCCTAATCATTGTCAGGGCATTGAAGATAATGAAAATGTACTTTCTATTAAACAGTGCCTCCCTACTCCTTACCTGAGATGACAGGGTAGGCTTTCGTCTCTCTTGAGTTCAATGTCAGAATGCAGAAGCTTTTAGAGCACTGATTCTCACCCTTCTGTACTTTAGAATCACCAGGAAAGCTACACCCCTGACCAATTACATCACAGATTCTGGGGGTAGGATCAAGGTATGGGTATTTCATAAATCTTTTCAGGCAATTCCAATGTCAGTCAAGGTGGAAAATCACATCCTTGGAATAAGTAGACAATGGCCAAACAACTTATTAGTCTTAGAAAAATCACTTAATTTTCCTAGGTTTTTTTCCTCCTCATCTTAAAAGCAGTTATGTATGGAACAGAGCTAGACTGTTATACTCATTGATTTTCTTTTTTTTTAGATAAAAATTTATATTTATAGTTGTAAAATATTTCAAGTGAGCAGCAACACATAGAGTATATTACCACCACTAAGCTAAAATAATTTTTTTTAATAATTTTAATACTTTGCCATCTTTGTTTCATTTCTGTCATTCTTTGGATAAAAGATAAAGCAAAAATCCCTACATCCCTTATATTCCTATTTCTTTTGTCTCTACAAGTATCCACTATCCTAAAGTTATCCTGCCTACATGATTTTATTGTATTTTGTATTATGTATTAAGTAATTATGTATCTATGTTTCTACAACAACTATATAATACTGCTTAGCATATGTTTCAGTCAGTTCAGTTCAGTTCAGTTTAGTCACTCAGTCGTGTCTGACTCTTTGCGACCCCATGAATCACAGCACGTCAGGCTGACCTGTCCATCACCAACTCCCGGAGTCCACCCAAACCCATGTCCATCGAGTCGGTGATGCCATCCAACCATCTCATCCTCTGTCATCCCCTTCTCCTCCTGCCCCCAATCCTTCCCAGCATTAGGGTCTTTTCCAATGAGTCAACTCTTCGCATGAGGTGGCCAAAGTATTGGAGTCTCAGCTTCAACATCAGTCCTTCCAATGAACACCCAGGACTGATCTCCTTTAGGATGGACTGGTTGGATCTTCTTGCAGTCCGAGGGACTCTCAGGAGTCTTCTCCAACACCACAGCATATGTTTAAATATACATAAATTATATTACACTGTATATAGCTTCTTGCATATAATTATTTCATTTAATATTATTATCTATTTATCCATATTATCTATCAATATATAGATATATCAGTTTATATACAGTACATTAATTTTAAATTTCTTCATATTATTTCATTAGGAATAAACCACAGTTTACTGATATACCTTATCTATGGACAGATAAGTCTTTTATAGTTTTTAGAAAACAAAGGTATAATAAAAACCTCTTTGTATGTCTTCCTGCCACCAAAAGTTGCTCCAGGGAAGACACTTAGAGTTTTGTTATATATTCTCAACTTCATGTTTGTTAGATAGTCAAAAATTTTTCCCCAGAATGGTTAGACTAATTTACTCTCACTAGTAATGTTAAAACATTCCCTTCTCCATATTCTCCAACATGTGACACTATGAGAATTTATTAACTGTTGCCAATATGAAGATTATGGAGTGATAACTAACAGTTATGCTTAGATGATATTTTTCTGAGGTTCCTTCTATTCAGTTAATTTGTGGTCACCACATCGATGCTGCTGCTCCTGCTGCTGCTAAGTCGCTTCAGTCGTGTCCGACTCTGTGCGACCCCATGGACTGCAGCCCACCAGGCTCCTCCATCCATGGGATTTTCCAGGCAAGAGTACTGGAGTGGGGTGCCATTACCTTCTTCCACATCAATGCTAAATCTTATCAAAATAATAAAGGATGTGGGGGGAAGAAGCCTTCTTCCACATTTTACAATGAATTTACTTTTCCTCAAGAAATGTCTTACATGGCTAAAGCTGGCTCATGAACCCATAAATCAGGCCATAAAAGAGGAATGGGGACATGGCCCCAGCTCTGTATTTATTTTCTTGTATTCCATAATCCAATGTTACTTAAAAAGCAAATGACCCAATAGTCAAGCCAAAGCAAATACTGTGAATTTTGCCAGGCAAAATGCCTGTGGAGAAATGAGTCAATTCATACAAGATTCAAAGCTGTCTTTGGTCAGTGACATTTTCGTGAAAATCTGTGGGTGGGTAAAAGTTTTGCAAAATTCCTTTTTGCTATTGGATAAAATTCATCCAGGAAAAATAAGCAAAATTTAAGTGGCGACCCACATTCCCCCTAATTCCCTTATTAACACTCCCTAACCTCCCAGCACAACTGCTTTCTATTGTGTACAAAGGCCAGGATCAGGGTTTGTGATCCTGGCAGTGGAAGCCTGTCCCTCTGCTCACTTTGCTCCGATCAGATATGCTTTCTCATGAGAAGCACTAGCAGACAGAGTGTACCTGGCCTCACTCAGAGCACATCTTCCTGGGAATGCTATCTAGGTGTTGCACACTCTTCAATTTAATGGCAAAAAGACCTACTATGGTAAAAACATTCTCTGTGAGCACTCTGTTGGAACACTTACTGTAGCTATCATTAGGGATGGTTAGTGTACATCTATGGGCTTCCCTGGTAGCTCAGCTGGTAAAGAATCCGCCTGCAATGCAGGAAACCCCAGTTCAATTCCTGAGTTGGGAAGATCCCCTGGAGAAAGGACAGGCTACCCAGTCCAGGACTCCTGGGCTTCCTTGGAGGCTCAGATGGTAAAGAAGCCACCTGTAATGCAGGAGACCTGGGTTCCATTCCTGGGTTGGGAAGATCCCCTGGAGGAGGGCATAGTAACCCACACCAGTATTCTTGCCTGGAGAATCCCCATGAACAGAGAAGCCTGGCGGGCTACCGTCCACGGGGTTGCAAAGAGTCAGACACGACTGAGCGACTAAGCACAGCACACAGTGTACATCTATAGCTTTGGGTTATATTTTATGTTGTCCTTTAATGAACATGAAACCAGGATTTGGGAAAGAAACTAATTATAAGGCTTCATTACTTGCTCTGACTTGAGAATTTGAAACCTTATCATCTCAGAAAACAAAAAATTGAATTCAGCAAAGTTATACCTGGAAATGATCAAAAGTTTTGATACTTCTGAGATTCATCAATGTTAAGGGTGGTCTAAGCTCAGGAAGGTCTAAATAGAATAATATCATGCCTACAAGTTGCTGTATTAGTAGACAAAAGTGAATGGACTCAGGTATTTTTTAATATAGTACTGACATATTCCAGTTTCTGATTTAACTGAGGTCTGTCTGTCTGCCTGCTAAGGCCTTTACCCGTCTCCAGCACTTTGCCATTGGCTGGGAATATCTTTGTAATCAAGCCAAGATTGAAAAGAGGGCAGCTGGTTTGACTTTCCAGAGAAGCAGTAAGAATGAGATCTACAGAAGGGTGGAGTTGTTTGGGTAGGAAAGAGAAAAGAAACCATTCTCTTCTTCCAGTAAGTTAACCAAGTAATAAATTAGCAATCCTCCCCCAGTTCTGCCACCTAAAGTCCTGAGTGATCTAAATCCCAGAGTTCTGGGTAAGGCTGAGGAGTTACAGTCAGAGACTCTGAGAATGTGTTCTCCCATGCATGAAATGGAATTTGGCATCAACGGAGGACACCAGTGGTAGCCTCTTACTGTAAGCAGGCTGTCACTGAATAGCCCTTTCACACACCCTCCTTTTACCACGACTTCCAGAAGCTCATTGGGCTGCCTGTAGTCATGGTCACCAAACACAACTGGGTCATCACATCTTTCCCGGGTCAATAAGCCAAGTGAGTGAAAAGGATGACTAACTCTAACTGTGGTCCACAGAAAATTAATGGCAGTTGAACATAAGTAAAACAAAAGTGGACTAGGCCTTTTAAGTTAAATTACTCCTAGTCTTTGCAGCATGTGACACAGCCATAAAAACCCAAAGATCACTTCATGTCTCCAAAAGAAGAATGTGGTCATTTTGCTCGGCAAAGATCTTGAGCTTTGAATCAACTACCATCAGTTTCTTAAATAGTGAGAGATGAAACAGATGAGTTTTAATAGTTCTTTCTGTTTGGATTCTGAGAGTGTAAAGACTGGTTTTGCAAAAGGCAGAAAAATGCATCTTTTTCAGATGTGCATCCACATTACACACAATATGTCTTCTCTCTATGGGCTACAATTTGAGAGGACTACTAAACTTTCAGAGCAAAATTATTTGCTACCAGTTAACTACAACCTTACAAATCAAGCAGATGACATGTAGCAACATAACAGCTTTCAGAAGACAGAATGTTCATGATATGTATGTTTTATAGGAAAATGGATGTCTCCCTGCTAAAAATATATAGTCCCAAGATGAGAGCTACAACATTAGTCAGCCCCTAAGAAACCCTGTACTAATACATTTGCACTATAACATGTAATTTAATGCTTTGTGGGCCTTGATCTGATATACTATTAAATCTAGCAATCTAAATTTTGCAAAGATTTCATCTAGCAGTGGGGAGTAGGCAGACCAGGGGAGAGAGAGCAATCATTTCCCATACCCATCTTGAATAATATCATGAAAAGCTATGCAGATGCCTGCAAATATTCACCTCTCAGCTTATTCTTTCATTGAAGCATTTCTATTTTTAATAGTCATCATGCACTTTAGCAAAAGTCAACTTTACAAAGTTATATGTTTTTTTCAAAATCTGGGAACAGTGGGAAAATACGGAAATCTTATTGCACAAAAATTAATTTTGCAATGCAAAAAAAAATTTTTTTGGATAATTCAAGCCTTTATGTTTATTTCAGTAAAGCCAAATCCAGCAAACTATTTTCAGCCAGGATTAGTCAGAACTAAAAGGTTGGACTGTTTTCCTTCAGAGACTGAATGTCTCTCTTGCCTGCAATAGGCCAGTGTGTTCCAAACAGAGTAAATGGAATTGCCTTCAACTGCTTGTCTCTTTCTGGCATTTTTAACGCAGAGCCTTACTGACAGAGTAAGGTTTTGTTGGCTGGAATGCAATTATTCTTTTCAGTCATATAACCTGGCATTCTTACAATGTATCAGCTTCAAGTTTTCCTTAAGAAAAATCATAACATGGGGCATAATGTAACGACAAGAAATGCAATTTCATTCCTCCAGAAATTCTTAAAACCTTTTCAAAAGTACCAGTGGATGATGAAAAACGTGCTTCTAATACTTGCCTTACAACTACCACCTGTTTGGTTTGCTTTTACATGAATCCGACAACTTGGCCAATCTATAATCAAACATTAACATGGCAAACATGGGCCAGATTCTTTATTATCAAGACATAATACAAAAAGAAGGGACTCTGGCTGCAGGGCCACCATCTAAATAAGTTCCTTTTCAAAATCATATGTATATATATATATGTATTATTTCACGCATTAAGTGACCTGCAGCATATTCAATATCCAGGAAATACCTACAACTCTCAGATTTTTAACTCTAAAAGAAATATTCTTGTCCATCTGGACTAACATAAAACACATGCTCTTCCTTTTTGAAGAGTTAAGCTAGCTGTCTGAGATTGTGCAAAGCCACCCTGTCCCAAGTGTGATGTCCGGCTTGTAAACCCAGAGGGTTTCTGTTAGGTGTGAAATGATTGTGTAACCATTTAAGAGTCATATTATTCAAAAATAGTAAATTTTTCAAAGAAACAGAGATAGCTCCAGGATTGATGCTGTGAAAGGGGGAGATGGGGAGAAAGACAATATGCCAACTTCTTTCAACACCAAAGGCAAGGTCCCCTCTGGGTTCTTTCTCTTTATACATTTTCACCCAATTTCCTCTCCTGAAAGTTCAGGGAGATCCAGATTCTGCTCCTGTGGTATCCTTGAGTGTTTTAATGCTGGCTATAAATCATTAATTAATCTGACAACCTTGGAGTGTGCAGTGTGCAGGCGCGTGGGTGTATGCAGCAACAATTTTACTAGCCAAGTTGCTAAGTGTGAGTTCCTTTCCAAATATCAGAACCATCACTCTAACCCTAATACTCACCCAGTTACTGCAGAGAAGGGGAAGTCACTGAATATTTACTTTGGAAAAGAGCTAAAGCTTGCTGGTGGTGCAGTGTGTTTCTCTGCCCTGCACATTTCAGCAAGTCTAAGTTGGTGCCTGATGGGAATCACTTTTCTAAGATTTTGGACAGTGTGGCAGATGAACCTCCCCTGATCTTATACATTTGAAGAAGAGAATCTAGAAGTGGAGAGATACCCCAGCCACTAGTAATTAAAGAAACTTTCTCCTTCCTCAGGCTGAAGAGGAGTCAAATCTCATGGATACCTAGACCTCCAGCACCCAAAGTCCATAAAAGAAAACACTCCCCAACTTGCGGCCGAGTTTGGAAAACCACATACACCTTCAATGAACTCCAGGGGGCGTTAGCAGACTCACCGAACACTTGTTGGGCTTTTCCCCCGAGTGAACTCTCATGTGGATCAACAGTTTATAGCGGGCATTAAATGGCTTGTACCTTCGAGGACAACCGGCCCAGAAACAAGTGAAGTCTTCTCCTTTGCGCTGGTCTATGTGAACCTTCTCGATGTGCCGCACAAGTTCCTCCTGCTGGTCATACAAGGCACTGCAGTCGATCCAGCGACAGCAATGCTTGCCCCCAACGTCATCCATCTCCCCATCCTCTTCCAGGGCGGCCTGGGGCAGGGCCAGCGGCTGGGCCTGGTGGACCAGCTCTGGATGATGCAGATGCGGGTGGGCATGGTAGGGCGGCGGGGGGCCTTGGGGCTGGGGCGGCGGTGGCAGAGGGGGTGCGGGGGGCAGGTCCAGGACGCCACCAGGGAAATCATCCAGGCGCTCGGTCTTGAGCAGGCCGGCCGCGTGGCCGGCGGGGTCCGGCAGGCCGTGCTGCACCACCATGTTGTTGACCAGGCCCGGCTGGAGGCCACCGTGCTCCAGCTGCTGCATGCGCTCATACTCCAGCGCGCCGTCCTCGTCGTAGGCCGGGAGAGCCAGGCCACCGCTGGCCACCCGCACAGCCTTCTGGCCACTTGGCACTGAGCACGGCTGGGGAATACAGCTGCCTCGCACTCCCAGGAAATGCCCGTAGACCTCAGGCTGTGGAGACATGTTGGCGGGGGAAGCCCTTGACCCGTTGATGTAGGCGACCAGGGACGTGGGCGAGGTGCGGATGATGGTATTGAAGTCTATCCCGATGCCGTCGGACAGCGGGGACAAGGACAGTGCTCTCTTCTTGGAGCGGGCCGAGTGGGACCTGGCTGAAGAGTGTCGGGGACTGGGGTAAGGAGAGTGGCTGCTTTCCATACCGAAAAGGTAGGATGGCAATGAGTTAGAGACACTGTTGCTGGACATGGCTGTCCCAGGAGGAAGGCTAATTAGGTCCCCTAGATCAGTGCCATTCTGAGAGCTGTGGCTCGAGGAGAGTGAAGGGGGAGCCTTATAGCCGTGCGACCACTCTTGTTTCACGTTCAAGGTCGACTGACTTTCTGTCAGACTCAAAGTTGAGGAGGCCAAAGACTCTCGCGAAATAAGGGACCTGGAACAGCAGCCGGAGGAGGAGGAAAAAAAAAAAGACAAACATTTTAGCAGGATATGGATTGCTTAAAACTAAAAGAACATTGCATTGACAATCTCTTAAGTATTTCCCCTAATTGCATTCTCAGCTAAACACACTTTCTTTGGCTAAGATAAAGCCCAAGACTTTTAGTTCCAGGTATATAACATTTTACCAAGAGGAAAAATAAAGGCTAATGCTTGCTGGAATAATAAAACAAAGATCTATTGTTATAAATAACCTGATACTTCAATGATAATAAATAGTCCTTGCTATATTTTTATATATCTTTTTTTTCTACAGGGAAAAATTAGAGACCTAGGAATAATTATTGAAACTTGTCATGGCAAACCAAATAAACAAGTATTTATTAAGTACCTACTATGTGCAACACACTACAAATAGGCATTGTTAGGAATACAAGTCTAAACGGAGTCCCAGTTTGAGTGAAATCTATTTGGTAATGTAAAACATAAACCGATGGTTAATTTGGAAAAAAAAAAGTAAATCAAAGTCAAAGGGTCATCCAGAGGATCTAATAATAATGTCACAAATTTGTTCCACTGATATCAAGGAATTTTACATATTTCTATAAAAGACAGCAATTCACACTCTGAGTAGTCAGTAGTCAGTCACAACATCAAATTGACCCAGAAATAAAAAGTTATATATAACATGCAGCTGTAATATATAAGGGAGTGACAACCTGAAGTAGAGTCATATTTGGAATTCTGCATGTGGGTCATGCAAGGTTTAATTACACCTGCAGTTTGGGATCTTCCATGAGCCGCTGTCCTCAAATCAGAGCAGATTTGCACGGAGAGCAAAGTATCTGCTTTAATTACTGTAGCAACAATTCTTCTCCTGTCCTTCTTACCCTTTATAAAACATGCCTCACATGTCACAACATTTGCCTGAATATCAAAATGCTTTGTGTTGTAGTCTAGCCACTTTAAAATTCATTTTGCTTTAACCATGATATCAGCTTTAAAAATCACTGAAGGGAAAAGCTATGCCTTTTGGATGGAAACATTGTCCCAAAGAGGCTAGACAGAATTCACCATATTCCCAACTCAGAATAGTGTATATTAAAAAGCCAGCTTTTTAATTTGTGCTTTTATTGGCTTTCTACAGAGATCTTTTTTCTGACAAAAAAATTTTAAATATTGTATAGAATGTCTGTCTTTCCCAGGATGAGCCCACTTACTACTTCCAGCTGTTATAAAGCAACCTGCTGCAGAACTGAGGGAAAATAGAAGTATTCTCATCCCATCTGTTCCTCTTACTTCCTTTCACAAAATAGAACCCAGGAACACTGTCTCCTACAAGCATGAGAGATTAGTAAGAAAACATCTCGACTCTGAAATGCACAGTATTAGGTGAGAGATAACACCACTGTCAATCTGGTGTTTTCCTCCAGCGAGGTAATGTTTACCATTGACAAACACAGCAAGAATTTAAGTCCAGTTGCCCTTAATGCAGATTTTCTTTTCTCTGTCCAGATCCTTATATTTGGGCTGAAGTCCTTTGCAAGTCCCAAAGTAGCTTCTGAACCATCTGTTTTTTAATTCCCCATGAACGCTTTCAATTATTTTCCCAGCATACCCACAGCATGAAGCTCTCCCTGAAGAGCTCAGCTGAAGGCTCCTGGTGATAGGATGTCAAGGGCCTTTTAGTCCCTTCCCCAGGGAGATTCAGGAATTGCTTTCCGACCCAACTCAAATCAGTAGTCATGTCATATATAAGGCAAAGACAACTGACTTTGCTTTACACCCTGAGGTTGAGATGGTTTATGTAACATTCTTAAATGGTGCATTTGCCTGGTCACTGTCATACCAGAGCATTTCAGATTTTAAGCAGTGAATTTGTTGTTCAGTCACTCAGTGTCCGACTCTTTGTAACCCCATGGGCTGCAGCATGCAGGGCTTCCCTGTCCCTTACTATCTCCTGGAGTTGGCTCAAATTCATGTCTATTGAGTGGATGATGCTCTCTAACCATCTCATCCTCTGTCACCCCCTTTTCCTATTGCCTTCAATCTTTCCTAGCATCAGGGTCTTTTCCAGTGAATCAGCTTTTCGCATCAGGTGGCCAAAGTACTGAAGCTTCAGCTTCAGCATCAGTCCTTCCAATGAATATTCAGGGTTGATTTCCTTTAGGATTGACTGGTTTGAGAGATCAAGAAAGGAGATCAAACCAGTCAGGCAGTGAATAGCAAGTAGGAAGTATTTTACCCACCTGTATATGTTTTGCATTTGAAATTATACTATTTGGTTTGAGGGCTGCCTATAGTGAGACATGTTCATTTGTTCCATTGTTAAAAGCTGTTCCTTATTTTTTTTTAAATACACCTAAATATGACTTAATTAAATTTGAGCATAATTCCATGCAGGCACATTCCTTAATTCCTTAGATATCTCAGTGTTCTAAGACACTTATCAATATTTTTTCAGAAAGCAATTCTATGTCCTATTCACTAAGGCAATAATATGAATGGAGAGCTCTCTTCTTGAATACTTAATAAGAACAAAATTTCCAACAAATGGCCTTTGCCTAGCAGCTCACCTCTCTTCTGAGCAATTACTCAGATCTTTTAATATTTCAAAGTTCTAATCCATGAAGACTGCCCCAAAGATAGTAGCTCTCAGTAAAAGTTTTCTTTCCAGAAAAGTTATATTCTATCTATATTGAACTTTAAACATAGCTAACTTCAGGCATCTGTGGGTGTTGTCTTCCTCAATAAAATTCAAAGACCTCCAATAAAAGTGATTATTTTTATCTCTGCCAGTACCCACCAGAGTGTTAGATGAAGTTCCCCCCCAAAAAAATGTTGGTTAAGGTGAGTAAATTAATATAATGATAACCATTTTTAACTTACAAAGTATTTTCCCTATATATTATTCCATTTAATACAGCCTGTGACATAAGCAAATTGGAATTTTAAAATAACCTCTGTTTTACAAAGAATAAAACCAATGTTCTGTGAAATTCCTCCCAATGATACAAAAAAAAAAAAAAAAAAAGGCAGGGGAGGCGGTTGCCAAGAATCCTTAAATAAGTACAAATAAAGCAGCAGATTTGATAAGCAGTCACTTAGTTTGATCAGATATATCCTCTATTGTTTTCCCCATATCATACCCAACACATGGTCCATAATGCTCTTCTTGATTAAAAGATCTGGTATAAGAGACTTAAAGGCACACAAGCTATAAATGGAACCCACATTTTCTGTTTTCTTTCTGAAACAATATGTTGAATGATTGAGAAAGATTCCAAAAAATTCTTTTCTATAATCCCTGCTGCTACCCACACCAGGCCTATGGGAAAGAAAGTGACAAAGAGCTGTGGTTTTATCACCATACTGAGAGAAATAGCCATTTCTGGATGTTCATCTAATCCTAAGCATGTTATTTCCTGTGACCAGTTAATTTGAAGCTATATATGAATGAAATATAACTCAAACAAAATGAAAGCAATATGAAAAACTTAAGAAATCATCAGTGAAACAGGTTAGGGTGGCTGGTGAAGCAAGAGCTGAGATAACTACTGGGGCCATAAGAGGTGTGATAACCAAGCCAAATGGCTCAAAAGAAATACTTACAAGAAGGAATTCCTCAAAAAGGGGCACAAGAAAATGGCTATATATCTATATGTATATGTATATATACATATATATTTCATGAAAAAGAGATGTGCAACAAAAGAGTTACAGAATTGATCCAATAAAGTATTACTTATAATACTGAAATAAATGGAAACAAATGCCCAGTTATAAAAGACTGATAAAAATCAGAGCTTTATTTATATACTTTTTAATAAAATGGAATCTTGGGCAGGAAGAAGACATTATATGATGCTAAAGATTTTTTTTTTACCACAAAAGATTATGACAAAGGAAATTGGTTATATTAACTGAAAAAAATAAATACAATACTAGGTAGGTCATTATGATGTATATGTTTGCCTACTGGTGGCTCGACAGAATCTGCCTGCAATGCAGGAGATGCAGGTTCCATCCCTGGGTCAGGAAGATTTCCCTGGAGAAGGAAATGCAACTCACTCCAGTATTCTTATCTGAAAAGTCCCATGGACAGAGGAGCCTGGTGGGTTACAGTCCATGGGGTCGATAAAGAGTTGGACACGACTTAGTGACCAAACAACAACAAGAAGGATATATGTCAAAATTTCACCCATGGTTGCCTGTGAGTGATAGGATTCAGGATGACTATCATATACTCTCTTGTGCTTGTCCACAATTTTCTACATCTTCTACAATTAGTAAGAATTACATAGGTCATCAGGAAAAACAGTAATAAATTTTACAGTTTTTTATAGGGCAACCATCACTCAGATTGAACAGTTTAAGCTTCTACCCAGCCTCACCATCCCAACTCCTCCTCCTCGCCCCCCCACGCCCCCCACCCTCAGGCATGCTCCCAATAAATAAAACACAAAGCTGATTCTCTCTCCATCTTATCTTTATCTCTAGATAGCAAAATGCCTTCAGGTTGAACTGTTGCCTCCTATCCTATCTCTCCTCTTATGGGTTACACAAACCAGTTTAAGTATCACAAACAAATGAAACCTTTCCAAATTGCTAAAAGTGAATTTGGTATTTTACCAAGCTACTTCCCAACTCCTGTTTCTTTGCTCATCCTGCAAAAAAATTATTTCCATAGAAGGACTCACAGAATACATAGTTAAAACATATGTTAATGCATCTCTAAGAGATGTTGTCTTTTAAATATAAAAATTTATGCTAAGGAATCAAATATGCTAGAGAACATTGAGATAATGACCCTTCCCTGCTCGACCCATGAAAGGGACTGCACTAGATACATGCATGGTTGGAGCAGCCTGTGCCCTGCCTACCTTTAGTTTCTCCATTAATTATGACTCTCTGCCTTCAAGGCTTGGGCTGGACTTGCCACAGACAGGAAGCTGAAGACTTCCCAATGACACCTACCCCATGAGTACAGTTAATTTTACATGCAATATTCAGCAAGTCTGAAGAGTCCCTCAAGGCATAATCATCAACAGGAAAATGACAGAAGCAGCTTTCCATCACACACAAAAATCTCAGGTGAAAAAACACATTCCCATCTCATTAAAAAAATTGGCATAAAAAATCATCCAGGAACTGTGATTTTAGAGTCTTGAATAGCAGCTAGGACAGTACAGAGACACAAGAGGGAGAAAGATTAGAGGAAAAGAAGGAAGGGGAGGAAGGAGAGGAAGAAATAGAACCCAGAACTGCAAGGCATCTCAGCAGATTCCAGTCCCCCAAGAAGGGTACAGAGGTCCACAGAACGGAGGTCCAATTCCTTTGCAAAATCACAGTTACAGCAGATCCAGGACTTAGGCAGAAACTTTGGATTGTACTTCTTCAAGAAGACTACTTGTAAAAGATGAAATAATTCATTTCAAACATAGAAATAGACCTTACACATTACAGAGTATTTTGGTTTTATGTAGCCTGTAATATCAACCTTGAGAGATATAAAAATCTGTCTGAGATAATTTCCCTATTTAATTATCTCCCATGAGATAGATATATGGCATTTATTGAACCTACTTATTTCAGCACCTAATCAGGCATTGTGTTGAAATGTTATGTAACTCACACATGAGAGTATGTCTTCCCAGATACATCATAAAGTCTGAAAGTTCACAATTTCTATCTTTAACTTTTCAACTATCTCCCTAAACTTCAACTATTGTATTATGCAGAACATAGATATTTAAATTACTTGGTTAGACAAGTGAATGGGTGGATGGACAGACAAAACAGACTGTAAAGCAGCTTTAGGATACTGCAACATAAACACTGAAAAATGAGCAGCTAAGACATATGTACATGGAACATCTTATCTTTCCAAGCCATGATATGACCTTTACCAGGAATCAAAAGATTAATATACTGGTATTTAGTCCCTGGGGGCTTCCCAGGTAGTGCTGGTGCTAAGGAACCCACCTGCTAATGCAGGAAACATAAGAGATGCAGGTTCAATCCCTGGGTGGGGAAGATCCCCGTGAGGAGGGCAGAGCAGCCCACTCCAGTATTCTTGCCTGGAGAATCCATGGACAGAGGAGCCTGGTGGGCTACAGTCCACAGGGTTGCAAAGAGTAGAACATGACTGAAGCGACTTAACATGCATGCATTTAGTCACTGAGGCCCCCAAATCTCAAAGTTGGCATTAATTTCACTCACACTTTATGACAGAAAGTATGAAATCATTCTTCCCAATTAAGATGGTATTACGGCACACAGTTTTTATACACCTTCCCCTACAAAGCTCAAAGTACAAGAGCTGCTTGAGTGAGTGAGAGAGAGAATGAGTGTGTCTGTATGTGTGTTGTGTGGGCACGTGTTCAGGAAGAAAAGGGAAAACACTCATGGGTGTGATTATAACATAAGAAGGGGGAAAAAAAAGTAATTTGAGACCTGGTATCTGAAGGAGGTATATTCAGGTTGGCTGCATTCACTGCCCTCTGTAAGCTAGGACTGATCTGGTTGCATGCTGTGGAGACCTGGCTTGCTGGAGGTGAAATGGGTCCCAGTCGCTGAACCATCATGGGACTGCTGGTGACCACTAGATTGTTGCAGCTGCCTTTTCCAATGGACTTGCACTGAGGCCCAAAGCCAAGAGCCCCTAAAAACAAATGAATCAGGTTAGCTTTCATGTCCCTTACATCAGAAATCAGTAAATACACATATGTGCACACTTATATCAGGACTCATCTTTAAAGACAGTCCTTAGATCATCTTTTTTTTTTCAGTATTAGTGATACCAAAAAGCTTTCTCTAATTCCAATGAAAAATCCATAATGCTACAATAGAAACCCTTCTATAATCACCACTCATACAAAATATGCTTACATTTTGCCCCTTCTACATTCAAGTGTCCAGTTATATAAAGAATCATATTTTATCATCTCTTTACCTAAAGGGTTAAGGTGGTAAGTAGATGGGATTACTTATCTCAAACCATGTATTTTCCAAAATAGCTAATATCTTAAATCACCCAGCAAGGAAAGTTGATACTACTGACAAAAACTTGTTTAACTGGTTCACTTCATTCAAGTCTGGCCTTCCAAAAAGCCTCTTTAAAAGGATATAGTCTGGCTGTGGCTCTCCAATCTTTATTTTTCCTCTTCATCCTAATATATTGTCATTGGACATATACCCAGTTTTTTTAAAAAATCAGGACAAGACAGCCTTAAAACATCATTTTAAAAGTAGTATGTTAACCAAATTTGACATAGATTTTTCATTTCATTAGCAACAATCTTTGAATGTGGTAAAACTTTGGTACATAACCAGAGGGGAAAGAAAAAAAAAAGAAAGAAACCCTCAAGAATCTGTGCCGTTACGGAAAAGTGAAAAGCAAAGAGGAGAAAGGCAAACACTGCCATGACTCATTTAAAAAAAATAATAATAGTCGTTGAATCATTCTAGACATTCTTTTTACATGGGTATACTTTTTCAAACATTTTTTGCAAACTACTTGGTCAAGTCTCAGTTCCCATTTCAGGCAAATGAAAAGAAATATGATCCTAGGTTTCCTGGCAAATTAGGCTCTAAACTTTTCTCACCAAATTCCTCATCTTTCTCATTGATATATTTGGGATCAAAGTAGTAGAAAAGCATCACAGTAACCTTCCTTACTTAGCTTTAGAGAATATAATTTTTTATTTTGTCTTTTTAAAAATAAATAGCCAAGAAAATGACTTTTCCATCTTTTGTAACATTCTCTTCCAAGAGCCCACAAAACTAAGGATAAACAAGACCTCAGCATAATCACCAACACTCTCTTCAATGAACTCACATCTCCAAAGTGCCAGGAGAGTCACAGTATCTTTAGCAAGCAGGAAGCCTTCTCCAGTCCAGGCCTCTGGGAAACTAAAATCCAAGTGGTAACTGACTTGCCCAAGGTCACACAGGGATTTACTGACAGAGCAGAAACAAATTCTATGAGAATGCATTTTCATGGCACCTGCATATTTAAGTTTAGGTGCTGGATGCTTAGTTCCTTTCCTGGATACTTTCCAAGATCCAACAGAAACGTCTCCTAACTTTTTCCAGATACACAAACCAGAACCTACCCCTCTCTCTGCTGCTTATATCTGATGTATCTTCTTGTGCCTTGAAACATCAGTCATAGATAGTCTCTCTATTTTCATAGTTCATATAACACTGTACCATCAGGGTTTCATCTTTACACCAAGAGAGTGGGTACATTTTTGTGCAATGATCATAAGCTTAAGATTTTTTTAAATTCCAACAAGCTACATGCAATTTGCTTTTTAAATTCCCTTTTTATCTTGGAAAAAGGTAATGTCCAGTATATAAGACACTTGAATTCCATCCCCAGGTTCCATCCCTACCAGCCACTGCTACTAAAAGCAATATTAGATGTCAAGTATTCTGTCCAATTCAGTGTCATATATTTATCTAAGGAACTCACCCATTTCATGCCTGTTTCCTTCACAATAAAAAGATATTAATACCTACCTCCAAAACAAAGACATATTAGCAGCTGGATCAGCACACCCAAGAAATGCTATTTGGTGCCAAAGCATATTAATACATCATTTCATCAAATCTTAGATGCCATATAAGTCATACCATTATTTCATATACCAGTAAAAACATCAAACTGGTACATGGTGTTACTACTTCACAGATATTCTGATGTGAAAATAATGCATACCTTAGAATAGACAAATACCAATAAGACTGCTGAAAAAATTATTTTAACCCCTCTCTTGTTCACACTTTTCTCTCTGCTAGGTACAGCCTTACCCTAACTTGTCTACCTAGTGATCAGCCTCTCTCTTCAAAGATCATCTTCCCTATGACTCCCTTCACACACTACCAGCTGGGCAAATCTAATCAATTCTTCTTTTTGTTCCCCCACAGTCTTTTAGAACAAATTTGCCTCAGCACCTTCAGGGAACTGAAATGTACATGACTGTCATCCATTTATACTTGATTGCTTTTTAGAGACAAAGCTCTTGCTTGAGACAGCACCGCTTCTTCAGCACCTAGCCTAAGGCCTGTACAGTACACAATAAAATCTGTCAATGAAGCTAAGAATGAATGAATGAATGAAAATAAAGGATTTTAATATATGATATTAACTACTGAGACATTATTTCCACTAAAGTCCTCCTGGTCTTGTTTAAAACCGTACCATTTTTCAAAAACAGACTCCAACTAAGTCAGTCCTTTGATGTTTCTCCACAGTGTGACTAATGAGAGATACGGGTGGAAAATGAAGCTGTGGGAGTGGTAATTATAAATCCATCTTCCTAGGCTGGAATTTTACACTGGTCAAGGCTGCCCTTGTAACCCTATACCCTGGATTCTCACATTCATAGTACTTTTTCTCTGACTGTAATAAAGAAACATTAGTCTTCCCCTCCCCAGTCTCTCCATCATTTTCACAATAATACCTCCTACTCCTGAATTCACTAGTCAACTTGAGCCTCATCTAACCATAGAGGAGTGACAACTTCTGACAGATATTACATACAGTGTCCATGAAGCTAAATGGTAAATTTCTTGGAAACATATAATGTTTGTGGAGCAGCTTTAAGAATGTTCTGGAAAATGGCATCATCACTCTCACACGTGGAGGCAAGTAATACTTTGACCAAGAACCACTGTGCTCAACGCAAGCATCTAACTTCAATTTTTTGCATAATTCTGGACAGAATGAATACCTCCAAGTTGCTCAGAATTGTCTAGCGTATTGTAGTTTGGGCTCTGAAGACAGCCTGCTTGGGAACCCAAAACCCAGGATGGTTGTGTGACTTGGACAAATTACGTAAATATTTGTGTTTATCTCTATGTCTATGTCTTCTCATCTGTAAAATGGGAATAAAAAGAACACTACTTCATAAGGTTGTTGTGCATCTAGTATTAATTATACACACAAAGGACTCCACACATTGCCTAGCACATAGTAGGTACTGAATTTATGTTAGTTGTGAATTTTGTTGCAGCTGTTGTTTTTATTGTTCATGCCTGTCATCACTTTTTTTCCTGCATTCTTTCTTGAAGTAAGAAAACAGTTCTTCATAATTCCCTGCATAAAACAAGATACAAGTAAATGATACTATTTAATTCTTTACCCATTTCCAATGTTCTTTCTGCTTTGAGCCTGGAGCCAATTTTTTTTAAAACCAGGTGTCATCACAGATAGAAGAAAAGTTTTCAACTGGCCAAGTTTGAATGTTCCTTGGCTTGTCATTCCCTGAAAACAAACCATAGAACTTGTCTGACTACCAGATGTGCCAACTACTTGTGTGCTGGTTTCATTTTTAAAGACTGCTTATTTTTAGAGACTGTACAATGTTTTTTAAAAATGTGTTTATTGCTCAAATAAGGATTAGAGTGGATGGCATTCTAAGTACCACATACATCCTAACCAAAATCGCTGCATGCCTGTGGGAAGTACAGATGTTCTGCATTTCCTGAACTGACAGGTCATCTTAGCAAAACCGTGTTTTTAATTAACATCTTCATTAGTTAAAAGAGTTCTCTTGAAGTCAAATAGCTGACTGTGTTGCAATTATCCCTGCTGAGGCTGCATCTTTCAGAACAATTTATGTTTATTCACTGGTTCCTCTAAAAATGACACAGATATTGGGGGAACATAAATGACACAATATATATGAGAGGTGGTAAGGAAAAATAATCAGTTCTTTTCGTGTTTTTATTGCTCAGTCAACTGACTAATTGAATGCCAACCATGAGCTGGGCAGTCCCTGGAGACAATGGTGAGCAAGACAGACAAGAGTCCCATCAAGAGTCCCATCAAGAGTCCCATCGAGAGTCCCATCGAGATTCCAAGAGCTGCCAATGAAGAGGAACACCAAAACAGCCATTCTATAAAAGAGAGCCCTGCTCCTAGGTTGGGTCATATGAAATGTCTTTCTTTACAGGTCAAACATGAACAAATAAGAGCAATTTCTATATAGTTCAACCCAACACATATGCAGAGTGTTTGGGAAACAGAAATAAAGCATACCAGGATTTCAGTCTGTCTCACCCATCCACTGACTATGTGACACTGGGCAAGGTACTTAAAAGTCTCTGTGCTTCAGTATCCTGTGAGGTCCTGAGGAAAGTAATGGTACCTAATACCTAAAGTAATAGTACCTAGTACCTAATACCTAAATGGTACCTAGTACCTTTATGAGGATTAAAAGGGTTAGTACATATTATCATATACTTTACCATCTTTAAGGATCAGGGTTTTCTTCCCAATCTTTCATTGTAAAACACTTCAAATCTACAGAATAGTTCTAATAACAGTGCATGAATCTTCTTTATCTAATTTATCAATTGATAAATTCCATCTGTCGATCTATCTAACCATCGACCCATCGCTCGCTATATATAAGCCTGTTAATATTTTAATTATTATGCCCTTCACCCCAAAATAGGTAACCATAACACAATCATCAAATTAAGACATTTGGCAATGATATAGTACTAGTATGTAATACACCATTTATACTCAAATATTACCAATTATCCAATAGTAACCTTTAGAGCAATTGTTTTCCAATCCAGGATCATGAATTTCAAAGAAACATTTTGCAGAAGTGGATCTTCAAGAACGGAATGGTAAATCAGTGG